TGTATGATGGATCTAAGGCGGTACCCACTGGATGAACAAAACTGCACCTTGGAAATTGAAAGCTGTAAGTCTTTCTGAGAATCCAGCTAGACTCAACTCTGCTTTAAGGTTCTCCTTAGGCAGAGGCCTCCTCCCCTAGTTCAGGTCCAGACCAAAGTTCTGCTGGCACACTAAATTTTGTGGAGGGAGGCACTAACAGCATCCTCCCTCAATAATACTGCCAACCTCTTAGTCTCCTCCCTAAATCCATGAGAGACATATTCATGGAAGAAATAATCTGGCAATAAAAGGCAGATACTAAGAGCCCTGGAAGGATACCCAGGGCTATTCTAGGCAGTTAAAATATGGAATAGGTGCCAACAGTTAAAACAGGCTGGAGAAAATAGGTGAGGGTGGCAGGGTGTCACCTGATGTCCTAATTGTCTTCGCTTTTCATAAATTTTATCTGTTTGTAATTGCAAAATATTTGGCCTTCCAGAATACTTAAAGCATTCCTAGAGTGTGGATTACTGGAGTAGTCATGGAATTGTTTTGTTTTATTTTGAGGGACTTTTTCAGTGTCTAAAGTTTATATTCTTGCTGAAGGCCATGTGATGAGTAAGATTGGGGTGTGTGTGTGCACTTACTCCATGTACTGTGGTGGCCTGTTTTGCAACGTGTTTGCTTTTCTAGGCCATGTTTTTAGCTTTCATGTCGATGATTCAGTTACCTACTCTTTTGGGTGGACTAAAATGTTGATTTCATAACCGTCTCCATTTCAGAGGTCACACAGGGAAGTGGTTTGTGGTGGAAGAGCATTTTGAATCTCTTTTTTCTCTGTCAGTTCTTTGCAATGTTTTTATACCTTATCCCACCAAATAATTGGAAGCTGACAATTTTATATCCAGTATTCTAGATAATGAGTAACTGGACTGCTGTGAGGATCCTCTCAGCCTTTGTGTAGAATTTTAGCTGTGGCGAGCAGCGTGACTCTAAATCACAGCTCTGAGCACAAATACGGCTTTTATGACACATTGTGGGTATTTTTGCCCATTTCAAAAGATAGTCTCCAGGGATAATTAAATTCACTTGCATTTTTGAAGAAACTTATTGCATACTTGTATTCCAAATGATCATTATTTTCAAATTAGATCTTTGCCTTACAGAACTATTTAATGAAATTGTTCTATAGGATTTCAATGATTAATTGTATGTAAATATCTTCAAGATAACATTATATACTGCATTTTTTTTAGCTTATGATAGAATTTAGAGTAAATAATAATGTTCTTCAAAGTCCAAGTTCTTTGATAATTTCAAATTATTGATGTAAGGATATTTTGAAAAATATATATATATATTGCTGTGTACCATTTATGAATTTTTGTGCTAAGAGCATCTTTTGAAGTAAAATTCTACTGGGATTTTAAGTAATCATAGTTGTATGCAGATGAGGCATTTTAACTGATGATGTTTTATTTGAGCCTTCCACAGCCTTCTCGGATCAGCAAACAAGGCCTTTATATTTTAAAGAATTGATGCCTAAGGACACAGGCAACACCCAAGTGTTTCATGTTATTAAATTATAATTTTGACATGAATGTTTAAAAATTAACATGATAGTTCATTAGGCTTTACATATTTCAGTTCTGTTCACAGTTACCCTATTAAGCGATGTAGATATTAATATTCCTGTCTTTACAACTAGAGAAACAGATTCAAAGAAGTAGAGTGATTTGTCCAAGATTGTTCTGCCACTTAGTGGCACAGTGGCTCTGTGCTAATGTGGCCATTGATAGCTGCATAAAGACACTGTTATTGGAGGGACCAGAATAACAGACCCCTATTCTGAAGCCCCCTTTTCTTACTTTTTCTTTCTTTTTTTTTTTTTTTTTT